TAATTTATCTGAGACTTAGAACTATGTGATTTCCACTTTGGGGGTTTCCCGTCCAAGTCAGGAATTTGGAATTACAAGGGTTTTCTTGGTTAGTTAATAGCAACCAGAAAGAATATTTGGTATGCTTCTAGGATAAGGGGAAGACATAAAGCAGAATTCACTATAAATTAATTTTGCTTTCCAGATCTAAACTAGTGGTATTTGTGCTTTGATGGTAGAGTAATAGACTGTAAAGTAAAACCTGAGATAGATAAGAAATGGCACTTGCCAGGTGCAAGTCCATACTGGATTAGATCCTTGGGTAAAGCGTGACTTCTTTGTGCAGCATTGTTGGATGAATCAGGTCACAGAACTCGCAACTGAACAGACAAAGGTGACCTTTTGACAGGTGTCAACATAGATGTCTAGCACTAGAATTGGTGGGTGGAACAATCAGGAGTGATCAGGCCTTTTAGTGTGTCCTAAACAAAAATGGAAAAGCTCTCACCATGTTAGAGCAAGCAGTACAGTTTACAACAATATAAAAATACCATAGCTCAAATTATGTCTTCCTACATGGTCAAATACACTAGTATCTTTTGGTCCCTTCTCTCTGTACCTAAATCCAGGCACCCCAGAATCTCCAAATCTTTCCTTTCAACCATTTCTAATCAGATGCGCTCCTCAGTTCTGCCCAGTTTGTCTCTTTCTTTCACACTATATAGCCACCCATATTTCAATTCCCTGAGTAGTATTCAGCCAGATTATCCTCTTCTTCCTGCCTCAGTGAACCAGTAGTTTCCCATACCCCTGAAAATATTTGTTAAAATTATACAGATATTTGATAGATGCTTGTACTGGAAAAACATCTGGGGTAAAATGCTGATTTTGATGCATGTATGGAAAACCTAGTGACACCAGTGGAAGTTGTAGGAATGAAACTTGGGGCAAAAGTTTCCCTTTGCCAACCAGAGTATTCATCTTTTTGAAATATGTAGCTATTATTGAGAAGCAACATGTTGATCTGATATGTACCATGCAGTTTACGCCTGTAAATGTCAGATCCAAATGGGAGAAAAAGTAGTAGCTTGCAGATAAAGTAAAGGATTCAGTACTTTATGCTTACCTTCCAGCACCTCCTTTCTGAAATTTATTCTCCACCACATTATATTAATGGCAATTGCTCGTGTTACTAAGCTCCAGTCTTCTTTAATTTCTTAGCTGTTCCAAGTGTAATTTAGATATGTCTTTCAGTTTATTACTAGTAAATAATTCCCAGGATATGTAGCTCCTCCAAGGGAATATTGAAGAGCCATTTTTCAAACTACTTTTTTAAACAGTAGCTCCCAAACTATGTTTCATGGATCAATGTTAGGTTATGGAGTGCTGGCTAGTCATGTGTTGCTGGCTTATTCATCCTATTTTCAGCTCTAAATTGGATGATAAGACATTTAAAATATATTTGCTAGCATTACCTTTCTAATTGTTGCAGTTGCCACAGAGATGATCGCAAATAAGAGTACAATCTTTGTCTTAAAATGGGGTCTAAATCAACAAAAACATTTGAGGACCCCAGTTTGAAAACATCCTTTCAGATCTCAACAAGTTTACTTTGTAATTACAGAGAACACCAATTTTTTCAATAGACTGTTGAGTTTGTTGAATAGTATTATTTAATGAACCCTTTATTCATTTATTTTAGGTGTTTTTTATTTATTTATTTTATTTATTTATTTTAGGTGTTTGTGAATCTTCCCAGAATCTCTCCACAGTTTTTCAAATCTATTCATTATTCATATGTATTCTGTGAGGGTGAGATCTGCTTTACTTGCAGAAAGCCCCATTATCAGCATTCTTTGGAGTTCAGAAATATATGTACCTATTTGTTTCAAAATGCTTACCTCCACCCCATAAGACTTGGTCTGACTCCATAGTTATTTTGGTTTGAAAGGTTTAAACCCTTTAATGTTACAGATGTGTGATTTGCAATCTTACAAATACCATATTTGCATATATATAGTTGCTGTGTCTATAATGAAAATGTCCACTCTTTATGTGAGGTGATTGTGGTGGATGGAGATGGCTTCAACCTTAATATTTCTGAACCATGTAGGAAGTGTAGATGTGCAGATGGAGACCCCAAAACAACTACTGGTGCCTTTTCTGAATTTTAGGTTTCTGACATAATGTGCAGCTGAGGTAAGACAACAATTTGGTTATTATGACAGTCTCATATTTGCTTAATGTCTCTGCTCAAATGGTAAAAATGGAAGTATTTTTCCAACAGAAACATCTGACTCGTTAAAAGAGACATAACATCCTACATGAGGAATATGCCGATATTTTGTGTAACAAACAGAAAGTAACGTACTCATTCCCTGAGTTTTCTGCATAAATATTTGATTATTTCCCATTTGAAACAGAAAATGTTACAGAAAATGTGGATCTAACTGAGTTTACAGCCACCAGACTGTGTTACCATTTCTAGTATTGGACTACAATGTGTCATTGTCTGTGTTATGAAATATCAGGGTCTATTATATATTCATCCAGGGACAGGAACATCTTCTAGGCTTCTATTACTCAATGCTAAAAGTGATGCCTTATTGAATTCAACAAAAAGAAATACTTTATAATCAAATACATGAATTTTCAAAGAATTTTTAGTTCCCTAGGAACATCCCCCTGCACTTATCTAGAATAACAACTATGTTACTGGTATCATGAGGGCCCTGTGATCTGAAGAAGTGGGTTGTGCCCATGAAAGCTCATGATACCATCTACATGTTTTGTTAGTCTTTAAGGTGCTACTAGACTATTTGTTGTTTTTTAAGTTTTCTGTTACAGAGTACCTCGGATACCCCACTGAAGCTTTTGAACTATGTTACTGTATGGATATACAATATATTATGTCCTCATGTTCCATTTAAGTTTTGCTTGGGATGGTAAGATTTGAGGGAAATTTATGACATAAAATTTTGTGCACGTAATTTTGTGACCTCCCAGAGAGCAGGAAGGCAAGTGGCAATGGCTTTGCCAGCACCCCGGGAAATGCATCCAAGGGGTCATCTGTGACAGCACCCCTTCACACACAGTTACATGAAAGTGCAAATAACATCTGCTGAACAGATGTTCATCTAATTATGTTCCCCCAGGGTATGTCTAGACAGAGGCAGTATTTCAGGATACTTATGATATCCCAAAATAGCTGTTCCACGTCTTTTGAACAAGCCCTTTATTTCGAAATATCTTTTGAAATAATGGGTGCGCTATTCTGATGTCCCTGTAAACCTCATTCCATGAGGATTAAGGGATGTTTTGGAATAGCAGTTTGTTTCAAAATTTGGCACTGCATAGACAGTGCCACATTTTGATATAAGCTATTTCAAAATTAACTTGAAATAAGTTATGCAATTTGTGTAGCTCAAATTGCATAGCTTGTTTTGAGACAAGGGTGCACTGTAGATGCACCCACAGAGGTTCAGAAAGTTTCTTGAGCATCACTGTTGTTTGGTTTATAAAGAATTAAACTGACCGTCCCAACATCTGACTCTAATACGTATTTGACTAGTCACATTGGAAAAAACATCTTCTTTCCATTTTCTCATCCCTAACATGAAATAACAATTACCTTCCATTTTAAAGTATTTTGAGATCTACAGGTAAAATAAATAAATATATAATTGCAGAGTATTATTGGTATTCCTGCCTTAGGGATGGAGAGACTTATCCACAGAGAGATAAAGTGACTTGCTTGTGAAGAATTGTATCTAGGATAGTGTGGTTCTGTGGTTCTACGACTAGCGCTTATGATTTCTATAGCAATACGCATGTTAGGTATTATTATTATTATGATTGTTGTTGTTTGTTGTTAATAAATTATCATAATTACTCTTTGAATTAAGTGTTATTTCTTCCACTCTGCAAAGGGAAGAACTGGGACTGAGAAAATTATCATAATTACCCTTTGAATTAAGTGTTATTTTTTCCACTCTGCAAAGGGAAGAACTGGGACTGAGAGTTTAAACAAATTACCAAATGACACAGTAAATCACTGATTCAGGTGGCATTAGAATTTAAGAAGTCTTGCCTCTGTAACTGGTACCTAATCCATTACACAATGATATGTTAGACTTTAAATATATCCTATTATTACTATTTGTTATTGAAAATTGTTCATGAACCTTAGTTTTACCTGAGACTTCTTCCTAATAATATAGCATTTGGACACAGTTTAGCTAAATTAATAAACAACAAAAAAAAATGGAGATAGTAGTTCAAAGCATGTCCTGATGATAATAAATGAGGAGCTTCCCTGTACTGCAAGATAGCTGAACAGTTTATGGGCTTCCTTCATCTGGAATAATTGATTTATTTGAGCAGCTGAACAGTTTATGGGCTTCATTCATCTGGAATAATTGATTTATTTGAGTTCTACAGAGTTTTTGGAAACTATTATTTCAAATCAATTTGATCCACTTACAAAATATAAGACAGTTTAGCTTCTTTTTACTATGCTTTTTGAGATGGAAGATATTTAATAATCTGTTGATTTTAAATTGACTAAGTCAAAACATACAAAATGTCTATTTTAATTATACAATACAATTTGCTTGTGGTCTGATTAGATTCTGGATATTCAATATAAATATAGAACATAAAATGTATATGAGTAAAATGTAAATCAACAGAATATAATAGACCAAATAAAATATTAGAGTATTTCTCTGAGATCATCAAATACAGATGTGTTAAATGTGTTGTGTTGAATTTGTTAAATATAACATATTGGTGCACATTTGGTGATAAAATATCTGCAGATATAATGCATACCAAAGTTAGCCAGAAAGCCTAATACTTTTGGGAAGTTGAACATGCATATGTTTGTTGATAATAGTATAGTTCAATAATACTAAAGTACAGTACATTGTGAATAATTGTACATTATCTCATTTGACATTTTAAGACCTCATTTTCCACTACTTAATTGTCTTTTTTTGGGCTGTTTTATCTATTTGTAGGTGGAAGATGAGTTTTGGAATGGAAAAGGAATGGAATGGAACATGATTTCATTAACTGAAGCTTACCAGGTTTTTTTTTTTTTAATTAATGAAACTATTGTGTTACTGTTCAGATCATCTGATCATGATATTTATTCTTTTCAAGATGCATGGATAATTTCTAAGTACAATTTAAATTACTAATAAAAAATTCTGGGGAAAAATTCCAGTAACTCCCAAAACAATACTTATTGTGTAAAATGAAGCAGAAAGTCAAAGGCCAGGTCTATATTATAAACTTACCTCATTATAGATACATCGCTCAAAGGTGTGAAAAATCCACATCCCTATATATTGACCTAATTCCTATTTTTTCTTCCACTACATCAGATTTCAGTTAAAAGTGATGCAGATATATTGACCTAATTCCCATTTTTTCTTCCACTACATCAGATTTCAGTTAAAGAAGTATTCCCATTCGAAGGCTGGAATTGTCACTTGAGATGTGGCATATTACAGAAGCCTAGAATTAAAATGGGACCTTTATAGTTCAGTAACAGCGTGTCTTCTAGATGAATTAAAAGGGATCTCTGCCTGTTGCAGTAAGAACCATGCTAAATTCATTCCTGTTTAATATTCTTCCTAAAAATAATCTTAGTGAAGCCTAGCTTTTAGATACCAGTACTCTTATATCAGAGTATGCTGTATGTCTAAGAGAATCCAGAGAATGCAGAATGTCTCAACTCTGTTATATTTGAGAATGAGTCAAGGTTCAGTTAAATTTCATTATAACCGAACCAGGATATGCATCCAGAGTCCAAACCTTTAAATTATAGATTCATTGACCATAGGAATCAGAAGGGACCACTATTGATCATCTCACTCCTGAAATAAATCCCTAACCTCTGGTTGAGTTATTCAAGTCTTCAAATCATGGTTGAAAGACTTCAGACTTTACTAAGAGTCAAACTAATTTAATTAAGAAATACTGCTCTGTGACCCTCAGATAATCTCCTGAAGAAGTTTTGGGTGTGGTTTAACTTAGATGAAATTAAAATGAACTCAACTTCTCACACAGACCTCAAACTGTCCAATTAAACCAGCATCAAACTGGCACTCATGATGGAAAAAAAATATCAACAACCCTTTTTCTCTTTGTGAATCAACTCAAGGTATCTCCACACTATATAGTTTTGTTGGAAAAACGGCTGTTTTTCCAACAAAACCTGAGTTATGTCCATACCGCAATCGCGTTATTCTGAATGTAAATTGAAAGAAAAGAAGGGTTTTTCTGGCATTAGTAATCCTCTTTCTACGTGATTCTGAAAGTAAATTGAAAGAAAAGAAGGGTTTTTCTGGCATTGGTAATCCTCTTTCTATGAGGAAGAAGCCTTTTTCTGAAAGAGGTCTTTTGGAAAAAGATATGTGAGGATGGGGAGGAGGATTTTTTTCGAAAGAAGAGGCCTCCACGAAATAAAACAGGTGCCCTGGTGGCCACTCCATCCAAATTAATAAGAACTCTATAGTTCCTGTCTCCTGTTAAAGTCATAGTCACCCTGGACAAACCTTGTGGCAGGAAGGCAGCCTGAGAGCAGCACCTCAAAGTATTTTTCTGAAGATCTCTTCTGAAAAAGGTCCTTCCAAAAGAAGCCTGCAGTCTAGATATAGCCTCCGGTAATAATCAACCACAGTTAAGTATGCACGTCACTGAGTTTCTACATTTCTATTTGCTTCAATTAATGTATAAGATTTAAATTAAAAACCTCACTACAGCTGAATGCAACATACAGCTTTTATTCTGTGTTTACTACTGATGAATTGTTAACACCCATACTCAGATAGGGTATGTCTACACTTGCCCCCTAGTTCAGACAAGAGAGGAAAATGAAGCATACCAAAGTTGCTAATGAAGAGCAGGATTTTCTATTTGCTTCAATTAATGTATAAGATTTAAATTAAAAACCTCACTACAGCTGAATGCAACATACAGCTTTTATTCTGTGTTTACTACTGATGAATTGTTAACACCCATACTCAGATAGGGTATGTCTACACTTGCCCCCTAGTTCAGACAAGAGAGGAAAATGAAGCATACCAAAGTTGCTAATGAAGAGCAGGATTTAAATATCCCATGCTTGATTATCATATTCACGGCCAGTCACCATTTTAAAATGCCGGTGGCCAAATTAACTTGCCACGTGTAGATGCGGTAGTCCGATCCAAAACCCTTCCCGGCCAAATTAACTCGCCACCTGTAGATGCGGTAGTCCGATCCAAAACCCTTCCCTTGAATTAACTGTTACTCCTCGTGCAATGAGTGTGACTATACAGAGTGTGACTATGCCAGCATGTCTGTAGTTAACTATTCCCTCTTGCTGAGCTATTGTTTTCATATGAAAGGTACACTGTTTAAGATATAGAATGCAGTCATATTTCATATATAGCAAGATGAATTTCAAGCTAATCCCTGTCTATAGATGGCAGTGATCCATCACCATTACAGTGACATGGATTTAAGTGCAGTCATTTACAATAAAAGATGGATTTTTTTAAATAAAAATAAAAATGTGTGTGTTTGTCTGCAGGGAGGATGTTATGGTTTTTTGAAGCATATGAGCATACACAGCTCAAAGTGCTATTGTGTGTAATCTAATCTAGTCTTGATTTTAAACTATACTGAGTTCCATTTTGCAGTGAACTCTATGCTATAGCATGTTTACTATCAATGTTCCATTTCCAAGAGCACTAACACTAGAGGTGAACAGGGATTGAAAACTGCCATTCACAGCTACTTCATGAACATCTGATTTATCTCAGGTATGGCATATGTCAGGGAGTCACTGGATTATTGTGTCCTAGAAGTGCAGCCTCCTGAGATTCTAGAAGTGACATCACTTATTTTTGGTTGAGTAATCCCCAGAGTGATGTGATGCAACTAGCCACAGTATAGCACTGAAGCTGGGGTAGGCAGGAGTGGCCCGAGGCTGGCTGTGGCAGATGGCACCCCAGGCAGGCGGCACAATTGGCACCCCCGCCAGTACGGCTGTCAATGGCCATGACATCATCATCGGGCGCCTGGGCCAGTGGTGCTCTAGGCAACTGCCTAGTTTTCCTAGGCTCACGGGCTGCCCCTGGGGGTAGGCTGATCACTCTGACCAAGAGTACCAGGCCAATTACGTGTGTTTGAAGTTCCTTGACTCCTATGAATAGGAGCCAAACTCCTGATCAGTATTCCCTGTAAACTGAGTGCTCATGCGGCCACTCAGGAGAGATTAAATGCCAACCACCTGATCAGCAGAGTGCCCACAGCTAGGTTTTTGTTTTTACTGGTGGTTCACATGCCTTGCTGCACATTAAAAATGTATTCTGTACATGGATGGAAAGGATTAGAGGGAACATTGCTCTGGATCTCATTAATATCTGTTACAATCACTTTGAACACTCAAAAAATTACTGTTCCTATATAAGCAATAAAATCATGCCTCCCAATGCAGAAGCAGAGGGGCCTCAGTGTCGATTCATCGGTACGGTCCCTTCAACCTACCAAATGCCCCTACAGAGAGAGAGAGACTATTTGGGAAAGAATGTGGTGCGTCCAACATAAATCAGATCTGCAATCCATTTCCTTCCCACACATGGGCAAAGGAGAGCTTGGAGCAACAGTAGTGATGTTACTACAAATCTAAGGGTACGTCTACACAGCAGGTCTACATTCGAATTAAGCTATGTTATTTTAGCTATGTCAATTGCACAACTGAAGTTGAAATAGCTTAATTTGGCTTTTGGTGCTATCTACACAGCAGGAAGTTGAAGGAAGAACACTCTTCCTTTGACTTCCCTTACTCCTCATAAAATGAGGGTTACCATGAATCAGAGTAAGAAGTCCTCTAGCTCGACCTTATTTCGAAATAAAGGCTTGTAGTGTTGACGCTATTATTCCAAAATAACACTATGGTGTAGACATAGCCTAAGACTGCAGAGTGGCTTGGCTCTGTTGCTTCTATATGATGTGGCAGTGAGGATTCCTTTCAACCTCAGCAACTAGAACTTATTCATATTCTTTTTTATGTGCTTTTTTTTAACTCAATTTGTCCTTAAGGATTTGGCCTGAATGTTATTGTAGGGGCTTCCTTTGGTTCAAATGCAAGTATTTCTGCAGATGAGAGCAGCTGCAGCAGGTACAAGCTGTACAGAAGTACAAGAAGGAAACTGAAACGTTAGCATTACAACTCCTCTCAAACTGGTGACCTGAGATATGTGTAAGAGAGACTGCTTCTGCTGAGGCTCCAGGATGCATAGAATCTAAATCTTTCTTCAAACCATTCGAACTCAAGGATAAGAAAAAATTGGTGGGAGGAGCCATCCAGAAAGTCAGAAGGAACAGAGACAACAATATCTGTAGCAGATACAGCTGCATCACAGGAGGCAGTAACATGCAGTTACACCACTTCCTCAAATCCCGCCTCCTCCCCGCCTTCCAATGTATAGGAGCTGGCACTAGGATTGCAGTTAGTGCTGTCTCCCTTCTCCCCTGGCTTGAAGTGGTTTTTCCATCATATTCAGTGTTTACAGTTTGGTTCAATGGCTCTCATCATACCCTACCCCCATGCAAATTGTTCCAGTGTCCATGCCTGGATGCCATCATCAGTTTCCAACTGGTTGAAATAGACTGGGTATTTGCTCCAACATCCTCCTACCCATTTGCTTTCACTTCAACTTCACTCCACCTGCCTTCTGTGCTCCTTTTCTTTCCCCCTTTCTCTCTTTTCCTAACCCTTTCCAGCAATATCCCCTCTCCCTTCATTTGTCTCTTTTCTCTCTTACAACAGACCCCACCTAAAGAAGAGAGAGAACAAATTATAATTAATTATTTTTATTATAGCAATTAGGAGATAAGAGCCCCATTGGGCGAACTGTTTTACAAACACAGAGCAAAAACAACATTCTCTGCCACAAACAGCTTACAATCTAAGTATAAGACAAGGAACCAGAGGTGAAATAAATTCAAAATAATAGGCTTCTTACTCTGACTTCTGTAAACCTCACTGTATGAGGAGTAAGGGAAGTTGGAGGAAGAGCGCTCTATTTCAAAATATCTCATTCACATGCATCTGATGAAGTGGGTCTTTGCCCACGAAAGCTTATGCTCCTACACTTCAGTTAGTCTATAAGGTGCCACAGGACTCCTCGTCGCTTTTGCAGATTCAGACTAACACGGCTACCCCTCTGATACTATTTCAAAATAAGTACTGTGTAGACGTGCTCAAATTTGAAATAAGCTATTTCAATAATTAGCATAGTTCAAGCTGCATAGCTTATTTCGAGTTTAGCCCTGCTGTGTAGATGTACCCTAAGCGGCACAATAATGGAAGACCCAAAAAGGAGTTTCTGTGGAAGTCAGCAATGTGGTAGTATGTGGACTTAATTTGTTTTTCAATGAACTTACACCCAGCACATTTGGGCACATTGATGGATGCATTTAAAAAATTATAAATAAAAATCTAAATATTTAGGTGTTGCCTCACCACCTTGCACCTAAGGGGGAGCCAGATGCCACCCCCTCCCAGCTCACAAGAAGTGGAAGTGTCACTAAGGTATGGGGCTTTATGGATGTCATAACAGCTGATTCTTCTTCAGCATTCCCAGAGATATTTTGGAAGCTTCATGCCAGTGCCTCCAGGAATTGCTAGTAGTGCATAAATCATTCTCACACCAGCTCCTACAGACTGTGGCTTAAGGCCTCAGTCTGCCTCCATCTTTGCAATTTGACATCCTGATCAGTAGACTCTCTCAAGGGATATTTCTCCACCCTGAAGGTTTCTGAAAACATCATTCTGTTCATTAACAGCCATATAATTTGCAACTAATTTATTTTCCCCTGCAGCAATGGCAGCAGCATCCTTTCACAGTTGAACACTGAATTATGCCTTACGTTTGTGCATCAGGCAATTTCACATGGAGAAAATGTAAACATATTTCTATTCACACTCAAGAATGCTTGTGGAAATATAGCCTTCAATTGACTGTGTGTACTTTTAGGAATAACATAAATAGTGAGACAGGATACCTATAAACAGAGATTATAAATGGAAATAAATCAATGGCTGTACTTAGTCTGGTCCTGGTCTAAGCTCTCTTTTTGTTTAGTTCTGCGATCTTGACTTCTTAACTATGTCATTGGTCTTAAAGTGAGCTGACATTTTTCAAAAATATGATATTTTGGCAAAAAAAAAAAAAAAGATGAAAAATTGTAACCTTTTTTTGACCACCACAAATTGGTATATAAATATAGCTGTCTATATAATATATCTTTCAGTCCTGCCAAACCATCATCAAAATAAATATCTGAAACTTTCAGTAATGTTATCAAATTACCATATAATTTAATGTGTTTGACCAAATAACTAAAACATCTAGCTATTCAGGCAAATGGCTAAAAAATACAACCAGTCTGCCTGAAGAGGCAATTATAACATGCATTCTTATATAATGAAGTCATTACTAGAAAAGGTCTATAACCTGAGCCTACCTGGTTTGTAACTAAACTCTTCAATTTCTGTAAGAAATTGGTAGTAATCTTTTTTTTCAGCTCACAAAGGAGAATCCATAATTTCACTTCTTTATCCTAGGCTGCAGGGGTATAGACGAAAACCATATGCCTTTTTTACATATTCCATAACTCAGGCTAGGTCTACCCTGCCGCTTTTTCAGATTTTTTTGTTGGAAGAGGCTTTTCCAACATTTGGTCCATCTAGACTGGGCCAAATGTTGGAAAAACCCCTCTTTCGGAAGCCCCCTTACTCTTTGTGGAATGAGGACTAAAGGGGCTTCTGAACAAGTGCATTTGCTGTTCCATAAAAAAAGCAGAAGAGCAAACGCATTCTCTGGACATGGAACAGTTTTTCTGGGATACTTCCGGTATCTTGGAAAAACTGTGTAGCCTAGGCGCAGCCTCAAGGAATATTGGTAGATGGCAACTTCACCTTCTCTAGCTGAAAGTGTTCTTGTGGCAATGCCTTATTACTACCTCATTTACATAGATAAGAAAGAAGACATCTACTCAACTCTGGCTTCTGATGGCTTTCACAAAATAGGAGAGGAAAAGAAAGATATGTGTTCATCCCTGAAGTTACATGATTTTCATCAGCCCCTGCTTTTATTCTCTTTTTCCTCCTCTATTGTTTGTCTAAACACTAGGGCTACGTCTAGACTGGCATGATTTTCCGCAAATGCTTTTAACAGAAAAGTTTTCCGTTAAAAGCATTTGTGGCACGGATTGGCACGGACTGGCACGGACTAGATTGGCACGGACGCTTTTCCACAAAAGCACTTTTTATGCAAAACAAATCTGAGCTGTCTACACTGGCTCTTTTGTGCAAAAGCTTTGCGCAAAAGGACTTTTGCCCAAACGGGAGCAGCATATTATTTCCGCAAGAAGCACTGATTTCAGACAGTAGGAAGTCAATGTTCTTGCGGAAATTCAACCAGCCAGTGTAGACAGCTGGCAAGTTTTTCTGCTAAAGCAGTTGCTTTTGCAGAAAAACTTGCTAGTCTAAACGCAGCTATCGAGAACCTAAATTGTTAGTCCTCATATCCCATTTCACAACAGACCCTGAGATTGTTCTTTTGTTCTTCCCAGAATGCAGTTTTTTTTCTGATTAGGAAGAAGATGAAAGAAGCCATCAGCAGGAGCACTAACTCATTTAGACAGACCCATAGTCTCCTATAGACAACCACCTAACCTCAAGATGATTCTTACCAACCACCACAGGACATACCACACTAATACCAACCCTGGTACCTTCCCTTGCAACAAACCCCGTTGCCAGCTTTGTCCACATATTCATTCTGCTGATACCATTATTGGACCTAACCAAGTGAGTTATAAGATCAAGAACACATATTCCTGCGCATCCAGAAATATAATCTATGCTATCATGTGCCGAAAGTGTCCGTCTGCTATGTACATTGGACAAACATCTCAGACACTTCGCCAAAGGATTAATGCCCACAAAACAGATATCAGACAAGATCACAAAGAGGAAACAGTTTCTTGTCATTTCAACCAGAAAGGACACAGTCTTAATGACCTGCTAACCTGCATCCTACTTCAGAAGACATTCAAATCTGCACTTGAAAGGGAATCCTCTGAACTGGCATTCATGCTAAAATTCGACACCCTCTGCACTGGACTTAATAAAGACCCCAACTATCTTACACATTACAAAGATAGCTCCCCCAATTATCACCTCTAATACTATTAACTCACAGACATTTCCCCTTCCCCACCTCTAATATCATTAACTCACTGGCATTCACCTTCCTTCCCCCCCCCCACATTCCCCTTCTGTTCTGTAATGTGATTTGTCCTTTTCATGTGTGTTCATTTTTTTTAAATTGTATCCTTTGGTATATATGGTTGTGACTGTTTTCTTCCATTATTTGATTTGAGGAAGTGGGTCTGGCCCACGAAAGCTCATCATCTAATAAACCATCTTGTTAGTCTTTAAAGTGCTACATTGTCCTGCATTTTGCTTCAGCTACCCCAGACTAACACGGCTACATCTCTACCACTATAACTCATTTAGGACTTTCACAAGTATACTCTTTCAAACTCACATTACAGGGCATGCTATGGACCTGATCTGTTGACTAGCTGTGACAAAGAGAATGCTACTCAACTCACCACTATCCAGATAGACCCATTGTTCAACTGCCCAGATTAAAACACACCATCGTCTGGACAATCCTAAAGAAAACTATAGACCTTGCTAACTGCCATCAAGTATAAAATCACCCTTAACTTAGTATTTTCTGAACAGCCAGATCCAACAATATTTATTCAAAGCTAGTATTCTAGATCCTTCCCTAATTAATATTAGGCTGCTTGTGGTGATGATAGATGATTTCCTGTTTATCTATGGATAATGGACAAAGATCTATACTCATTTCCACAGACCATTCAGGAGCATTTAACATGGTCAGTAATAGAATGTTGCTTTCTTGCCTGAGAAATGTGATTTGAAGCAAAAAACCTCTGATGTGATATGGATCAATTTTGAAAGATACTTCCAGATAACCCTTGTTTCACCTGAAAGATTGAAGGTTTTATGTACCAATATG